TCTGCAAGCCCAGGTGTAATGCTCTGCCTCGCCAAGCATGCTTAAGGAAGCCAAAAAAAAAAAAAAAGAGGATGACGACACCCGAACACCAATGATTTGCAACAATTCCATCAGAAAGCACGGCCTCGTCTGTGGCGATAAGCAGGCTACAGGAAAGCCCGCGTTACAGCCCTGCTGCTGACGTTGGGTCAGCAAAGTCATTGCCACGTCACACACCAGAAGTGCCCACGATCAAGGAGGCCCGACACCAGCTACGTCATCGCAGCAGGAACACTGTGCGAGATTTATGGTTTCTAACAGTTTTAGAGACACCGTCAATGTGCCAGAACGAGAGAGACAACTGTGAGATTACTGTAAAGGAACAGAGTGAAACTTTGGAAAGTGGTATCCTGCGCTGGCAGGCTAGCGATTACGACAAGCTTTACACTGTTATCGTCATCACTGTACTAACACTCGTCTGTGCGTAAGTAAATTAGACTTTTTCTAATCCCCACTAGTTGCTGAAAATCAGTTCAACACACTGGCAAATGAATAATTTTATCCCAGAGTGCAGTTGGGCATACTTTGACTGTGTAATTCATTTTAAATTCATGACTATCAAACGTAAATATATTAAGTACTGCACTGATTTGCTCCCCTCTTACCCCTCCCTGCAATGGCTTAGTAGGAGGGAAAACAAACAGGAGCCGTGAAGATGTTTTGACAATAACACAGCACCATTGTTATGAGAGTGAATTAGAGCTGTAGATTAGCAGAGTGTTCCTGACGATATCACAAATGTAGTTCCGCAGTCCTTACAAGTACTAATTAATTTCTTCATCTTTGGAAAAGAGACCAAACAGTAATCAGTCCTCCTTTTCTATTACTACATCCCCACTTCCAATAAACGCCCACAATGTGTTTTGTTACGCTGATTTTTACCAGCTGAGTAGAACGAGGCCCGGACAGACATTTTACACGCTTAGTCTGAAGCGCTGTTCACCAGGACGTATTTTCAGCATCTCTGTGCGGTCCAACATACCTGTTTCAGACTAGCAATGTAACGCGTGATGTACTCCACGGTGACAGGATCCTCCACTGTAAGCCTGTGGCTTTGACACTCCACACGAGCTCTATTTATAACTATTCTAGCATCAGCTGTCAGCCCTGAAATGACAGTGGATTCTCAGATTCGTGCTTCGTACCGTACGCACAAATAAAACAACTAGTCTTGCCCCAAAAGGCTCACAAGGTCAGTGTCAACAGCCATGAAAAAAGCAAACGAGAGATCACACTTCCTTAGGTTTGCTGAGCAAGAATAGCATTTTTAAGGCAACAGAACGCAGCTAATGTACCAAAATAAGCAGAGGATTTGGTTTACAGCTTTCATGTTTGTGAGTTAGATAACACATGCAATTCTGAACCAGGTAATCGGAACGTTACTGACAGACTGACAGCACTCCATCTAACAGCAAATTAGCAAAGCAATCTCGATTCTCACACACGTTCGTTTTATTTCTTATGCAGTCCCCCTAACTGTAAGCCAGCTTTATCTGCAGAGCAAATCTTGTCTAGTTGATGAGGCTACAGCAGCATGATCCTAGCTGACAAAAATGAGTATGACCCTTTAAAAAAAATTTTTAAAGAAACTTATTTCTTATTTTACTTTTTAGCTTATGATGTCATTCTCAATTTGCAGCCTGGTTTTTATTAGAGAACTTTTCTTCAAGCTTGTGAACCCACCTGCACGTACCGCAACCCTCAGCTAAGGAAGCGAAGCAGCAACCAAATCTGAAAATCCATTGGTTTTGCCGGTTCAATCAAATCTCCCCTTAAAGCATTACTAACACTGACACAAAGATTCTAAACCACTTGAAGAGAGGGGAAACCTTCTGAAATACGTTCTGTCTCCATTTACGTCGGGTTTTTTTAACTTTCATGCCTCCTGTTTAAGCTTTGAATAATGGAAATTAAGCCATTTGGAAGAGGAAGAATGTGGAATTATAATATTTATGCTTCAAACCCAGAGCTGTTCATTCAGAAGGAGTCTTCTGAACTAGAGCAGAGGAGATTTGTCTTTGTTTTATGCAAGACTGCAAAATTTAGCTTTTTTGGCTTGATGCATGTGGGAAAAGGTCCCCATAACTGACAAGTGTCTCTTATAGCTCCTGTAATATGTACTAATAATATGTATTTTATATATAATATATAAAAATTTAAATATTTAATTTTAAATACTTAAACCATATTAAGTAAATATATATATAAAACTTTAAATATATATATTTAAACAGTATATCTCTGTATCTATGCCAATGACACATCAGTTCTCAGTCTTCATCCTCACATTAAACCTAGAGGACATTAGTAACTTTAACACATATTTCCTCTCGTTAGAACATTGGCACGCTCTCTATATATATTTATCTGTACAGTAGGCTACTCTTATTTAAAAAAGAATAAGCAACCATGGAAATACACTCCTTCCCCACAGTCCTCAGCCAGTTATGCTAAGTATTTTATGTTCTCAGAATCCACAGACATACCCAAAAGCGCTCCAGTAACTGCCAAAACCCCTGAAGGGATCATATACCTGCAAAAGCCATGCAGACATTGTCATCGAGAGCACAGATCTTCCGCACGGTTCTTTCATCCTGAAGTTTTGCCACAGACTTCTTTTCCACACCAAGAACAACAATATCCTTCCCTCTTACTCCAACCTTCAACACATTAAAAGAAGAAGAAAAAGAGTTAAGCTAGGCCCAAAACCCCTAATAGTTGCAGACTTTACTGAAATGAGAAGGAAAAAAAACAAACACACAAAACCCCCACACTGTAAACATTATTTCAACTTGAAGTCAATATTTTATTTCCTATGGCCACAACCTGGAGAAAGGACTGATGTAACAAAAATTGCATTAGATTCCAGGGTGCAGTTTCATAATCGGCTTATACCAATTTAAATCTGCGTGGCTCCCAAGAGATACAGTCCCACTCCTCTTACCAACTGTGTTTTCCCCAGCTCTCCCCAATACCAGCATTGGTGTTTCCACAGCCACAGAAGCAGGACCAACAACAAAACTACCACTACAACTAGTCCACTGGTATTGCTCAAGTCAGAACCCACAACACTGAAGATCAGACCAAGTAAAACCTACAAACCGTCAGTAGTTTGCTGCCTTAATGTCCTAACTCATACTCTGAATGCACCTTTTCCAACATCAGGGAGAAAAAAAAAAAAAGTTGACCTTTCACACTCATTCCCATTGCTTCCATAGGGTGATGGGAGTCATTTTTTCTTACGGGGTGGCCCTGCTGTTAGTGTGCTACAGGGGTTTCCAAAAATATTAAACTCAACCAACTACTCAACAGGAGACAAGAGGCAGGTAGATCATATTGCATGTTAGCTCCACTTTTACAATGTTTTTAATTTCTGAAAAAAAAAAAGAGCCTATTTGACACTAGGTCTTGTTACATTTGTTCCCATCCCAAAGGCAGTAAATTTTCTTCCAGGTATTTTATTATTTGGGAATTAATACCTCTTTTCTTTCCTCCCTCAAATGAAAAAACCCTTCCTTGAGCAAAAGCTTGGGGCAACTTGACGCTAGGAGCCAGAAAGTTGCTTCTACACGCCTTTACTGACACGCTTCCCAATCCACTGGGCATCTGCATCTCGCACAGGCAGAACAGTGCAACAGGAGCATCGCTCCCCTGCAGCTCCCCAGCAGCTTTGTTCCCTCACGAGGGAGGCGAGGCGGCTCTGCTAAACTCGGCCTCCCAGGCCGGCGAGCAGCCGGCGCGATGGCTGTCGTGACTCCGGGACACCCACCCGCGCCGGGCCTCGCGC